TTTGCAAAAAGAACAGTTGGTTGCTGTGTATAGACGGACGGCTCTTTGTGTCCGTTATGTCACATTATTGTGACCAACGTCACTAGATGAAGATGAAAATATCTTTTGATTTCTCTACTAAATGACCTGAGTTGAATTTAACTAGCATTTAATAACTGCATGGCAATTAAATTTTTTATTTCAGATGACGGCTGCTTCTTACCAATAAACATCGCACGATGCTTCTCACTGAGAATCATTTCGTCTCACCTAATAAAAGTATGAGATCTATCCTTTTTGGTAACTTTTCCTGCACAATTTCTTTTGGCATGTCTACGAGCGTAGCAGCAATTAAAAGTCTTTTCGAACTTGTAAGAGAAATCACGTGCAGGTTTCTAGGCACAGGGTTTTCATAAGGGGTTTTTTTTTGGGGGGGGGTATCCCTAATGATACACTTTACTGGACATTTTACTGGAAGCGAGATAGTAATATTATTGCGAGCTATTATCCTGTACAACACGCTTAATTTTCATCACTTCAAACATCAGCATCTTTTCATTAAAAGTGAGGGTTCGTTATTTTTGACAACTGAACAAAATCCCAAAACACAACGATATCTTTCAGGTGACATAAACTGTGTGCAAGCATGCACAAGACAAGACCTTGATTTACACATTCATTTATCCATACACTGACATTTTCCCCCATTGATAGCCTGTAGAATCAAGGATAGAGCTGTCTATAGAAGGTGTTATTCAAAAGTCAGGTTACAGCAGCTAAAGTCTACATCAACTACTTAGAACAGGCACTTCAGAGTCATTTTTCCTGCCCGGCTTGCTTCGTACCCATGGTAACTACAGCTGCGGCAGATGGTCCTGTTCCCAAACTGTTTCTTTTCCACTTCATTTCCAAAGGTTGTTTCGCAGCAATTAAGGCTGATTTGAACTACAGACTCTGATGAGGTAGGAAAAATAAGTGTTGTGCGCTGACGATATTAAATGTTACGATCGGAAAGGAGAGAGTCTCAAAGGCTTTGAAGTTCCTATTTTAGAGTAATATAAGTAATAGACTACGCCAAAATAGTCACGTTCGCTCGAATATCTTTAAACATGATAGTATGTAATCAAATGAAATCTAAAACCATTGATTTCTCCTTCGAATTACACCCCATGATCTCCCCCATGAAGTGAAGGTATTGGGTGAATGTTGAATGGAGCACTTCTTACATATGGCATGTTGCAACTTATGATCTTTTTTCTTATTCTTATTATTTACATTTAACAACATCGATAAGTGAAATTTCTGCTTACCTTTCTTAATGAATATCCACAGGTGCGCTTGGAATTCCTTTTCATTTTTATCACACAGAAGCTTTATTTACAGCTATGTACAAGAATTATATGCTTACATTAGAACATTCATCATGTTTTTCTGGTTGCCACTACATCTATCTCAAAAATCCGCAATGCGGTAAGAAAAATATAACAAGCTGCAACATGGTGCCGAAATTCCGAGATAACAGTGATCTTTAGATATATTGTGATTTAAGTATTTATTATTGTTCGATTAGTGATTGAATATTGATTATTAAGATGGATAAGTTAAAAGCACTAAAAAAGAAGCGAGGAATGTTAAGAGCATCAGTAACAAGACTGGTAGCTAAAATGGAAAAAGGAAATATAATCGGATAATATTAAATTTGATTTATTAGAAGATGATTTCTCCATCTTAAATGAAAATGAAAACGATATACTAATATTGAACTCTGAAATCGAATCTATCCTAACAGATGAAAAAGAGTACGAAACTGAAATACAGGATAACTTGGAATATAAAAATAAAATTACCTTGTGTAAATCGAAGATCAGTAGAATATTTAGAAATAGAAAATGTGTTAAATTAAATGAGTTGCCATCTAATTCTGCTTCTATAGATACGGTAGAAAACACAAATACAAATGGCGCTAAACTTCCGAAACTAACCACACAATAAATTTAAAGGCGAATATGTGAATTTCAAAGTTTTTGGGCTCAATACGAATCTGCTATACATAATAACTCTGCTTTTAAAGGATGTAGACAAATTTAATTACCTCACATCTTTACTAACGGACACAGCTTTAATGTCAATAAGGGATTACCGTTAGTTGCCGAAAATTATGCTAAGGTAATAATATTCTGAAAGAAAGGTTTGGTAGAAAGGACATTTTAATAAATGCACAATATGAATCGTCTGCTGAATTTCAAAGCCAGTTTTGGGCTCAATACAAAAAATGGATGATATTAAAACATAACGTAACTCTGATATGATAGCTTAGAAATTGAAATTAGAAGCCTTGATTCCCTTAATGTTACTTCGAAATTCTTACAGCTATTTGTTATGCCCACTGTTCAATGAGGATATACTTCCTAGTGAATTAGTTTTACAGTTTAATCGATCGTTAATCCCTAAAACAGAAACCGATCGTTAATCCCTAAAACAGAAACCACAGGTGACTAACATTTTGGAATTTCTGAAGAAGGAAGTTGAAAGCAGAGAGCGTACGTTTTTCCAAACATCGCCAAACTATTCCGAGTTTAACATTAGAACCGAACAACATAAACCTCAATCGCGAGACTTATTATTAAAAGTGAGAATATCATACTGCCTTCAAAAACAAACATTTTGTTCCAGCAGTTGCGTCGTTGAATACGAATACATCAACAGCCGATTTTGTATATTTTGTGGGAAGATAGAAAATGAATCTTTGAAAAAACATTCTACTTCAATTGCGCAATTCCAATTGAGGAAAAAAGAAAAAAATTAAAATTGGCTAACAGATGCTATTTATGCTTTCGTAAGTCTCATACATCTGCCCGTTGCAGCTCGGATATACGCTGTGATTTATGTTCATTAAGGCATAATACTATTTTACATGATAATAAAAATTTGAAAATAAACGGGAAAATAAAGGTGAGCTTGAAACAGACACAGTGGTGGCGTCAATTTCGGAAAGAGATAACAAAAAATAGGGTTTATTTACAAACTGCAAATGCAATAGCTTTAGATCAGAATAGAAGAAAAAATGTAAGACTCATTTTCGATTCTGCCTCTCATAAATCTTTCATCCTGACAGAAGTATCAAAACAATTAAAATTAAGTGTTGTTGGGCAAGAAGAACTTCAGATTTACACCTTCGGCTCTACTGAGCCTACAGTTAAAAGGCTAAAAAAGGTTAAGGTTATTCTTAAAGATATATGTGGACCTGGGAAAATAATAATTGAAGCTCTTGAAACTCCAGAAATTAATCAAGCTGTTATTGGTATGCCAGGAAAGGAAATACTTAATTATTGTAAGGAAAATTCGATAAGACTTGCTGATGCTACAGATATAGGTGTCCATAACTCTCAAATATCAGTATTAATTGGTAATGATTATTACTGGAAAATAGTCACTGGGAAAGTTTAAAAGATTATCAAAGGGTCTTGTTGCCTCTGAAACCTTATTTGGTTACACTATAAGCGGAACTGAAGCATTAAGTAATGTTTCTACACTTCATTCCAGAATTACGGTAATGAATGTTGTTGAGAATACTTTCACATCCACATGATTTGGAAATTAGTGCAGCTCTAAAAACGGATATGGGATTTAGATGCAATTGGAATACATGACTATTCAACAAACTGAAAATGACACTGAAGTTATGTGGAGATTTGAAGAAACTACTTGAAATATAAAACCAATCGTTATGAAGTTTCATTACCTTGGAAGGACAATATGAACAAAATGGGTAGTAATTATAACATCGCCTTAAATAGATGGAACAGTTTACTTAGAAGGTTTAAGAAAAATCCTGAAATTTATGACAAGTATTCAAGGGTAATTGAAGGTTATCTAAATAAAGGAAATAGCTGAAAGGCTCCGAAGAATTCTGAAGAAAACATCTATTATTTGCCACACCATTGTGTAATCAGAGAAAGATCACCGCCGGTTCCACGAAATTAAGACTCGTATTTTATGCTTCCTCACATACTCATGATAGTCTATATTTAAATGATTGCTTATATTCAGGACCAAATTTAAATCCTGAATTAGTATTAGATTTGCTAATTAAATTTTCTTCAGCAGAAAATAGCATTTTACTGAAGGTATCGAAATCTGCTTTTTCTACAAATTCTGTTGAAGCCTGAAGACAGAAATGCAATAAGATTTCTTTGGGCTTCCAAAATATAAGGAAGCAACCGACGATTTTAAGAATGACGCTTGTAATATTCGGAGCAACCTGTAGCCCCTTTTTACTAGCAGCAACTATAAAGCATCACGCAAGAAAGTTAAAACATGGCAAGCTCAAGAGCATTTTATAGGATTAAATTAATTTTGGCTTAATTCTAAATATAAGTTCAACCTTATAGCCTACCAGGCAAGTTGTCGCCCTGGCTTTACCTAACAATATCAGAGTACTAAATTATCGCAATTAAAACAAAAACAGTAAAAATTTTCTGTGGACTTCAGCTAATGGTACAGAACTATTTAATGAGAATTTACCTTCAGTTCTGGAGGAAATGATAGACAGCACGAAATTAAATTATTTTAAATCACAAGTTACATCTTAGCATCTGACTTGATATCCTAACGCCTGGCTAATTTCATGAACTACTAATTGATATTCAAAGAAAAGAAGAAAAACTCACCAATTGGTAGGAATATCGCTGACGTCGAACACAGACAGAATAATTTCACAATGGCTTAAAGCTGCTAATCCTTACACTTAGATTCTTACTCCAACTGAAAACTCCTCTCATTTATATATTCTGGTGGGAGCGATAAAATGGTAGGGATAAAAGGGAAATTTTAACATGACCGAAAATGTGTTAATTAAAAAAAAATTCGACACAGTTATTGATTTCACAGCTGCTCTTTCGAAATAGTTTTGTTATTCTTAACCGGAGGCGCATCACCGCTCCTTTCGTAAACGTAATCACAGATTTAGCACCTTACTTAGATTACTGTTTCTTTTACGCACTGAATGTTTAATATCTTACAGTGGTTTCGTTAGCTTAGTTACCGCTCTCAAAGCTTGATCTAATCTACTACTGACACCTTTCACAGATAGATGATCTTTTCTATTGGCGCATTCTAGGCAATCTCTGTATTCACAAGAATGCACGAGAGCATGCTTCATATTTTTTGCCATTTGTTATTCGAAATCTAAATCCCTAACAAAGAGGGCGGAATACTGAAGATTTAATACGTCTTTAATTTCACTACTGCAATCCGGAATTTCTAGATGAGTCAATTTTTCGATGTCTCTTACTGGTCTTTCAGAGGTTTGTTGTCGGGTCTTAAGCTGTAATCGGCAATTTTTTCCCTGAACTTGCACCTCCATCGAATTGATTAAGGTCTCAGTTAGTTCAAAATCTTCGCAGACCTAATCTTGCCTTTTGTGTCTAATTTTAAACTTCTATTCCAGATCACATGGGGATTTATAGCTAGAGATAAAAGCAGAGTATTAAAAGGTTGATTTTTGGACTTTTAAGTTACATTATTTTTCGACACTAATATTTCAGAATCAACTTACTATGCAAATATACAAATATCAGAATGCAAACCTTAAAAAATACACGTGGATTTGGTTCTTATGTAACCAAATGCAAAATGTTTTTCTTAATCAAGTATTATTACCGAGAAAGGAACGAGACTCTACGAGGACTCATACTAATATTATTCTCCCTTCCATCCGCATTAAACTGGATATACGCGAGCAATATCTAACTTCAAGGATTTCCATGGTACACCAGTGCTATTAGTAAGATCAATTAAAGTATATATTACGATCTGGGTTAAATGCATGGAAGTTTTCAGGGATTTCCCTATGGGAAATGCGAATCAGCTTCCCTTGAAAAGTAGTCCACGAAGGCATTCCTCACATTTGCCAGATAGTCCTCATGTGTTTTGTCATAATCAAAATGATCTAATATCTTTACGCGACCATATCTGAGTTGCAGTAAACATTTATTAGTCTTTAAAGTTTTATTTGCACAACCTTCAGCTGTTAGATAATACAGAGTGGATCATGGAATTATTCGGCCACCTTACAAATATCGCAGATTTGAACAACTTAAAATTCTAAATTCACGAAAAATGAAAAACGAAATACACTACCTGAAATTCTGTCTTTGAATTCATATAAACTAATAAAAGTAAATTAATTCAGAATACAAAATAATTATTACCTAAACAAAAAACAAAAACAAGGACAACAAAACAAAGTAAGGATTGTATACGAGCAAAGCAATGACTTCATACGAGTAAAGCAATGACTTCATACGAGCAAAGCAAGGACTATATACAACCTATAAAAAAAGCAAGGACCAAACCAATGACACAAGAGGTTTCGACCACTCGCTGTTAAAAAGAGATAAAAAAATTAATAATAATTCATATTTTGTTTTGTTACCTTTTGTACGGATGACTGCTTTAATTCTAAAAGGCAATGATTTAATGAGCTTTTGACTGAGCTTGCTGCCAGTTTTATGCCATTCTCTTTGAGGGCCAGTTTCAATTGGTTTTTATATTTTTACAAAAATTTTATCAAAGGATTTTTCAGTTCTTTCTATAAATGTTTAGGAGTGTTCTAATCTTGAGACTGAGGTGCTTTACATTAGGAATATTACATATGGGCCATAACCTCGTATTCAGAGCCCTACGATTTGGATCACTGTCTTGTTGTAAAAATAAATCATCCTTTAACTTTGTGAATTCTTTTTCAAATTAGTTAATAAAGTAGCTGTAATGTACATATTGATTGATAATGCCATTAATTAATTCTAAAATACTCACCCCGCTGAAGTGCATCCGCAAACTTTTAGGAAAGACTCTGCGTACTTCATAGCACCACGAAGAGTGCGTTGATATACTTTGATCTGCGTTTTTATCAAACAGATTTTCTCTTATTTATATTTAATAATTCAAATTTTGCTTTCTCTTGTTTATAATAAATAATTCAAATTTTGTCCGCTGAACGCAGCACCACGAAGACTGCGTTGATAAACTTTGATCTGGGGTTTTAACAAACAGTTTTTCTTGTTTATATTAAATAATTCAAATTTTGATTCGTCCTCTGAAAGTAACCGTATTCCAGAAATTCTGATCATTATTAACAAATGAATTAGCAAAATCCAAATTCCTTTTTCCGATTAGCCTCACTAATTTATGACTTCCTTCCGACAAGCCGTCTTCTACATCAATTTTTTTTGTGGTGTTCGAAGCATCATTTCAGTTTAGTACTTATTGTAAATATAGGTTAGTACTTATTGTAAATATAGTAATCTGAGAAAGAATTACTCTGGTTATTTCAGCCGGATTGGCTTCGACATATCTAATAATTTGCCTCTTAGCGACAATTTTGAGTTTTTGGTTTTCAAATTCTGGATTTATTCTTTAATTAATGGAAGTTATGAAAGAAATTGTGTGACCCGTAAAGCTTCTACCTAAATAAGTAGAATATTAAATGCAGTTTGAAGGCAGTTGTGAACGATGTGCACCGTAATCAATGCCAATAACATTTCTTCCTAACTCATTCTTCAATCTAATCTTTAGTCAATTTTAGTAAATATTGTTTTCTTCTATACTTTTAACATCCCCACAATTAACATTGCAATTATCCTCTAAAAGCAGTTATGAGTTTTAAAACCAACATTGTCAGTATTTTTGTAATTTTATCGGGAATTGATTGAAAGTCTAACTCTTACATCACAATCTGGAACAAAATATCATATGACAAATGGCAAAGTTTTAATTTCTTTCCCGCTGTTGATACTGTCACAAAATTTGTTTTATTTAAGCCTTCGCAAAGCTTCTGAAACAAAATACCTCAATCACATTAATAATGCCAGTTTTTTTATTTTGCTTTGACTGGTTTAAACTTTGCTTCAAAGAGTTTCGAAATAAATTTAGACTAACAATTGGGTGATTTAAAGCTGAGATTGTGAATAGCAACATGAAATGTAAAAGTAGCTTCTTCATCTGCTACTAAGAATTTTTTGTCATTTAAATCGGTATATTTCTTATTTATATTTATAACATATTTGAGATAAATATAAATACAAGTCTTGCCGCTGCTACTAGGCTTGCTTTACTTTTTACACATTTCAAGTGATTTGGGGATTCGACCGCTACCGTTAAGGTAGTTGAACGTGTTTTTAGTGTGCTTTGTGCTAAGGCTTTCATGTCTTGCATGAAAGTATCTACCCCTACGCCTGTGTGCTGTGTTATTATTCAGGAGTATGTGCTGGTACACTTTTTAGAACTGCGCTTTCAAAATGGATTCTTATAGTGACAGTGAAACTATTTCGGATTACGACTCGGACTCACATGTGGACTTTGATTCTGTGATGATTCTGTAAAAGAAGGCTCAGGTGTTTGCACACTTTTGTCAGGAACCTAGGCTGGTAGCCGCATCCTGTATGTAACATGTGAGGAGGCCAACATAACATCCAGGCCAACATAACATCCCTAACATAACATGGCAATAATCAGATGAGAGAAAAATTCTCGTGAGACTGAGTGATGAGCCTCTCGCATATACAGGTCAGAAAGATAGTACGTCGTTCAGATGTACAATGTCCAAGGTGATAGAAACACAATAATGTTGACTGGGTAAGCTAAAAAGAGAAATTTGCAGAGCCTTATCTCTCTGTAGAATGGTGTTTGAGACACCAGGGTGCCTGAGCCAAGGCTCTACCCCTTGTAGAACAGTTTGATCAATTTAAAAGGTAGTATACAATAACTGAAAGATAAATCGAATAGTTTTTTTCTCTTTTTTAAAATAATTTTGTTAAGGTCAGATAAGAATATTGTTAACGTATTAATATGAATGGCAGTTGTTGTCTAAATTAGTGAGAGCAGAAAAGTCGAGAAACTAGTGTGACTGTGACAAGAGTGAGGTAGTCCAAACTTAGGCAAATTGATTCCATTAAGAATTATCAAGTACACAACATCAAATATTAAGACATGAACTTGAAATAATTATATTCATATATCTATAACATACGCAAGAGTGAGAATGCAGACAGAAAATTTGAAGTGTAGCAGATAAGAGGAATGAAAATAAATACATAAATAAACACATATGTCAAATTATTAGAGTTGCATATTACATGATCCATACATTTAGTTGGGCAATAGGCCTATTCATATTTTCCAAAATGTTATAGTCGTAATCACAGATTTTAATATTGGAATTATCAGTATTTTGATGCCTTTCATGAAATTTTTTGGCTAAGTTATAATAATGAGTGCGCAGTAACTCAATGCCTAACTCTTCATGTATTTTGTTATTCCTTCCATACCATTCAGCATTTACAATTTGTCGTAGAACAGTATTTTGGCAGACTTGCAATCTTTTCCTATTAGTTTTCTTGGTATATGCCCAAACTGGACTTGCATAATACAAAAGTGGACGTAGAATGGACTTGTAAATGAGTAACTTGTCAATAGATAATATATTGTTTCGAGCAATTAAGGGGTATAGTTTGGCTTTGCGAACTCGAAACTTCTAGATAATAGATGTAATGTGCGGGGACCATGTAAGTGTCTTATTGAGGATCACCCCAAGATAAGGGACTTGCTTGGCCCAAGGAATATCAGTGCCATAGAACTTCAGGTTTTTCCTGAAGGTTAGTCTTTTTCGCAAACATAATAGCTGTTGTAGATTTGCAGAGCCGATGGGATGGCATGCTATTAACTAGACGTCTGAAGCTCAAATGGTTGATGTAGGGGTGGAGAGAGAAGTCCTTTGTAAAAAGGGGAGGAGCCACTGGTGTGAAAGATCCAACGAGGTGGCTGGAAAGTAAGTGCGTTAACTTGAAACTCAGGCATTGGTTATGGGGCGGGGCTAAGTATTAAGTTAATATTCTAAGTCACATTAACAACATCATTAAGTAAAATACAAAATTAAAAAAAATATTAATAACCGCGTAAAACAATCAAGTAAAAGGATCGTGAAGAGTAATAAAAGGGTGCACCTAAACATCTATTGAGAGAGATATATTAAAACGCATCCTATAATTGCAGTACCTACTGGGACGTATTAAGTCAGCAGGTGAGATTTAAAAATGAGGAGGAGTTGAACTTATCACATTGACACTAGATGGCGACACTTATGCGTGCCGAAAGCAATAACATTAAATGCAT